GAATGTGTTCTATAGTAAAAAGAGTTCCCGTTTGTTAGAGCAATCCAGTCGAAAAGAAATGCTCTATCGTTCTCGTTTTCACCACATATACACAGCGGACAGCTGACAGAGTTTTTTTCAGAAAGATCAAAATTGAGCCTAGAGAAACTCACTCGCATTTGATTGAAAATCATACCCTGGGTGAACGAACTTACGGTAATTCTATAAGGATCTTATAAAAATCTTATAAGAATCTGATGTAAGATAGTCGATGAAAATGTGTAATTTATTGATAAGATTCTTATACGAATGAACATAAAAATCTTATAAGATTCCGATACGAATTCGATAAGACAGATTATATAATTGTTAGTTTAGAAGAATTGATAAAATAAGTTAACATACGTACTTTTACTCAAATCAATTAAAGCGTCTGACTGTATACAGACTGAATAAGTGACCTTGCATGGTATGGGATCCTACAAAACACAGGAAATCGTTTTAGAATTCTTGGAAGTCCTACGTAATCTTATCATGGGAACTAACATGCTTTCTATTACAATAGTACTTTCTATCACAATCAGAAAATCGAATGAACGACTTTCGATCTGAAATTTTGTCAATAAATAGGTCTAATGACCCTTAGAATGCCCCAGAAAAGTTAGTCAAACTGATGCTTCCTTTTCTAGCTGCTGAATTTTCAAGAAAATTCGATTTTTTCGAATTTTTTCTAATATATAGTCGTTTTTATAAAATCTATTAAGCCGTGAAAACATCAGTTTGACCAAGTTTTTGAGGCATTCTAAGGGTCATTAGACCTATTTATTGACAAAATTTCAGATCGAAAGTCGTTTATTCGATTTTCTGAAAATACACTACGACAGGTTAAAAAGCCAGAGAAGCGATCATAATTCAGAAAGAAAAAACTGGGTGTACTATATCTACTTATGGGTAAAATACTAGATCGAAAGGCGTGCGGCGCTTCGGAAGTTTCCCTCGTAAACAGTTATTATATTTCTATTAAATTTTATTTCGAAACAATATTGCCGTTTATCTTATCATTGTAAAAACTTTTTAAACGATAATGAGCGATATACGCAGCCATATATCTCAAAAACTAAAATGGATCTTTTTCTAAAAACAGATCAGTATCGTGGACAACTCCTGTACTTTAAACCAGTAAAAAAGATGGAAATGGGTCTTCTCTAAGTAATGTAATTTGAATTCGCGAAGCTGGTACAATAAGAAATAAGCTTAGGGTGAGCATTCTCTTCCCTCAATACGTAATAGATGAACATTTGAAGATGTAAAATTTGTTCTTTCTAATCTTATTCTTTGAACGAAAAAACAGAAAAATTTCTCTTATAGGAAAGTCTAAATAGTATCATAGAGTAAACTGTAAAAGAAACGTATAGAGTACTTTAGGATAAAACGGGTCAGTGCACGAAATTTTCTTCGTAATTTCATTATTGGTTAATAAGTGGTTAATTTCACTTGACATTTTTTTTTGACTGAGGGCGTGTCACTTGTTTGTATAAATTCTGCTTTTTCGAACAGATCGCTACCAAAAGGCACCGCTTGCACTCCTTTTTTCTTTTAAAAGATGACTTTAAGTCAGTCTCTCTAAGTCGTAGAAGATAGAGCAACTCGACAACTACTAATATGCATAAAAATTCCTTTCATAGTTGTTCTAATAAAGCACCAGAAGCAGTCACAAAACGACGTCATACACAGTTACGTGCATGACGGAAGAGAATGCTCACTCTCAAAGTTTTTTCTTATTTTACGAGTTTCGCGAATTCAAATTACATTAATTAGAGAAGATCCATTTCCATCTTTTATACTAGTTTAAAGTACAGAAGTTGTGCACGATACTGATCTGTTTTTAGAAAAAGATCCACTTTAGTTTTTGAGATATATGGCTGTGTTTAGGACTCTGACAAACTTTCACTTTTAGCTTTAAAGGCTTAAGAATACTCTGGCTAGATTCAGTTTCGAACAAGGAAATCCAAATATAGGAAACTCGAGTCTCAAAACCATGAGGGGAAAAAGCTATGAAACTTTTTTCGAAAAGGAAAAATTTAGGATTTTTGCGGTCTTTTCAGTATATACGTATAATAAAGTCAAACACAAATTTCATTCGAAGTTTGCTTTATGTGCATCTTAAATCGACTTTAATTAATTTTTGCCTTTAAATCTGGTAAACCTTTGTAACATATACTCAACTCAACAGTTAGATAGAAAAATAAAGATTCAAAAAGAGTAGTCTATAGATATGACTGTTATGATTGTGATGGAATGTGTATTGGTCAGACTAGTCGGGGAATCTGTAAACGAGAGAGTGAACATAAGAAAGCCTTTGATGAACAAAACTTTTGGAGAATTTCTCCACATTGGTTCCAAAAGGGACTTTTTTTGACTATGATTCATCATTTTTTTGTTGAAATAGAAAATAAAAATAAACCGTGGTACGTGTACTCTCTAAAAAAAAACGGCTCCATACTAAATCATTAAGGTTTCGTGTATTTTTTCGAAACTTTTAATGGTTTTGTAGTGAAATTTCGAAATTCAAAGGGTTTGTTAGACGGTACGAAACCTCAAAACAAAATATTTTTCTACAAGGTTTTGTACAGAGTATACGACACCGGCGAAGTGGTTTCGTAGCATTAAAGGTTTAGAAGAGACTTCACAAAATCTTACGAGTTTCGTATCGCATTAAACACTTCTTCGATGGAAGAAGAATATGCTGAAAAACCAATAAACAATTAGTAGCAGATATTTATTAGTCTTACGATAGTTATCGAAAAGACGTTATCTATTATATTTGAAACACGCGATTTATGTGAATACCATTAGATGGAGCTATTTTTTCTCTGCTGTGATTTGGACTAATACAGAAACCAATAAATGACAGAATGTGAATGGTGACTATTTTATTTCTTTGCTTTTTGCATGAACTATAGCCTACTTCATCGGAGTAAGTTAAATCTACTGTCTTCCCATGCCATTCCTTCCTCGGTTAGTTAAACCAAGTTTAGAAATGTTCACACGATCTAAAAAAGTACAATAACGGTTAAGGATTGAGGAATATCTTCTTTGGGAAAGCCATGTGTCTTTTTTGCATAACTGAGTGTACTTGCTTTATTATGTTTAACAAACATAATAAAGCACTTAAGGCAAGCAACTTGAAGTATTAATAATACTTCAAGTTTTATCATTTGCTGATCTCTCATAATTCACTCGTCACATGTGAATAAGAATTTAGTATGATGGACTACTTGATGTCTGGTTGGCTGGCTCTATCAACTGAGAGTATTGGGTTATAGAAATTCGGTTAAATAGCCAAGCTGGCAAGTTCCCAAACTGAATTATTAGATTAGTATAACAAACTGAGTGTAGAAAAAAGAAATAGAGTTGTTTCTTTTTTATTTACAACTGATCTAAATCTGGTGCACAACCGAGCACAATGACTCCAGTGTGTAACGAAATATGATCTATTCTTCTACTAGCTAATCACTTCCACTCTCTTCCAACCATAATTCAACTCTCTCTCATTGTGTGTCGTATTCATTCACTCTCTTTTTGTATGTATTCAATGTCGCTTTCTGTAAACTTAGTTAATATCAATATCGAACTTCAGACGTTTTGTATCATTATTGTAAGCATATACTGGTATTTATTCGAAGCTCGTTTTTCCCTGCTTTTGTACCATGCAGAGCTGGACAAGTCAGGATTTTTGCAAGTCTCAGTCAACGAAAAGATTCTTCAAGTCAGTCAAGTCTGACTTGACTTGGAATAGAGGCGTTTTTGTCTTGATTTGCCCAGCTCTGCATGGAAAACGACTCTACTTAGATCTTTAATATCATTTCTCTGTATTAAAAGAATGCACTTTTAAAATGACTTAAGAGACAGACAAAATTAGTAGCCGGTCAGAAGATTGGTAAAACCTTTTCCCAAGTCAAGCCTGACTTGACTTGCCCAGCTCCTGTACCACGTTCATTGAAGCCTAAAAAAATACACGTATCAATTTCACATAAATAATTCCAATTAAATATTGAATTTTTCTGCATGGATTGTAGAGATGAAATGGAAAAATCTGTCTGTAATATACCTGCAGTTACTATCGATATACAGTACGCAAGGGAGAGCTTTACAAAACTACATAAAATCGTCTAGCTAAGAATCATAATTACAAAAGGTCTGATTGAAGAAATTGAGAGATAGCCGAAACATGATCATCAAGTTTTATTTGTACGAAACCTCTTTTGCTAGGGTTTAATACGAAACCCGTTGTATGAAACCTTTTTTGTCAATAAAAAAATAGAGGTTTCGTAGCTGAACGCCGGAACCTAGGTTCGTACGAAACTTAAAAGGGTATAGAAATGGCCGCAATTCTCTATACCCTTTTAAGTTTCGTAATAAACCATTTTTTTTAGAGAGTACGAAGAGACACTTAAACTTAAAAAATAATAATTAATAAAAAATATAATCCTTAAGAAATGATGAGAATAATTGCGTCTGTTACCGTTTTCCTACTTTATTTTAATCTAATTAATGTGTCTTCTGTCTGTATTTTAATATTTTTTAAAAGTATCACGTTAATTCGCGCTCATATGGCAATAGGCTTGAGATTGAGTTAAAAACCTGTAAAAAAATCAGTGCGTCTTATCGCCGTATTCATCTGTATTATCATAAACAGTAGGATATCGCGAAACATCCCGATAAGAAGGCATTACGATTTATCTAAGTACTTCTTTTATTCGGATATTTCTACAATTTAACGCAGTAACAACTTACATCGCGATCTATCAAAACCGTCTGATAGATCGCGACGTAGAATTTGTCGTGGTAAACGATGACGATATCGCGATATGTACCATTATCAACGTCTTTATGGCGATATATCGGTTTAAAAATCCTCATGGGTGGTAGCAAAGCTGTTGAGACTGCTTTCTAGCGTTTTTGTGATTATTTAGCTCTCGCAGTCATAAAGTAGAACTGAGAGACATGAAGTTTTGGAGATGTTGATTTTCAGGTGGGTTTGGATTGTGATTGATCGCCAGATATCACTAGCATGCTATGAACCCTTAAACATCAAGACAAAATACACCAACTCGTCTTCGAATGTTCCTCGAACAATATCGAGCTTATCGTTATCCAAGAACATCGTTGGCAAATACAAGAACAAGTCAGCACACACCTCGAAGTTTTAAATAACTCAACATGGCGCTTTGAATATTCCTCAGCTACATCGGAGGACAAGGTGGAGTAGGGCTACTTGTAAGTCCCAAAGTATCAAAATACTTCTCTTCGTCCGAGAAAATATCGAACCGTATCTTGGTCACGCATTTTAAGAGCAATCCATCAAAGGCTATCATAGTTGTTTATACCCCAACAAACGATAAAAGCGATGCAGAAAAAGACATCTTCTATGAAGACCTACAAAAGAGAGAAATGCACAAACGAAATACCACCGCACAACATGCTAATCCTTGCTGGAGATCTAGATGCAAGAGTAGGCGCAGACAGCCACTTAACAAATTCAAGAACAATCGGGAGATACACTTATCATCAAATAACAAACGACAATGACGGACGATTGGTCAATATTGCGAAGCCAGTAACGTGTGTTCAACACAAACACGTCTCCCCCAGCCTAAAGCCATGGTGTGGACCTAGACACATGCAAATGGCAAGTCAAAAGCTCAGCTCGACCACATCCATATAAACGGTAAATGGCTGAACTGTTTAAGGAATGTGCGAATATACAGCACAGTCGAACTTAATTCAGATCATCGAATCGTCAGCACGGAGATTCAAGCCAAGATTCTAAGATTCTACTTTATTTTTCATCACAGTAAACATGTTGTCTGTCTCTTCGTTTTTGTATACTTCGCTTTTTTCGTATCACGCAACGTTTCTTGTTGTATGTTAAAAATTTTATCGTTTTATTGTACGTTCCCTATTGTACGTTCCCTTCAACGTGCCAGCTAAAACCTCTACAAGAAGTCACATATCAATCGGAGAAGATACCGATCAGTTAACAATTGATACATGTGCCAAAATTGATATTGATATTAATAAAGAAGATATTAGTGTCAGTCATCGTATTGGTAAACTAAACAATTCTATGGGTCAACGTCCAAATGCTATTATTGTGCAGTTCTTGCGTTATTCTACACGTCAAATGATACCTAAGAATAAGAAAAAACTAGAGCGAGGTATCTCTATCAATGAAGATTTAATAAAGGTAAATTTATCAATTTTAAGATTTGCACGCTCGAAATGTGTAGAGAAAAAACGTATTTATACATCAAATGGTAAAGTCATGTATAATGATGGTAAAAAACGTTTTCATTTATTTTCAATTCAACATGCTAAAGATTTAATTGATGATGAAAGGAATTGAGTATAATGATCAAACAAAATAAGCTAAGTAGACTTAGTTTTATTTCTTTTTCTTTTTTTTATTCGAGAAGAGTACGAGTGGAGAGAATAAGTCGAATGTGAATAGTTATTTGCCTTGTCCCTGTGACGTTTTGTTTTGTGATGCGGGTTAATAGCAAGAATACTGTACATCAGACTGATGATATGGTTTCGTACTTCTGATCCCGATATAGCCCTTAACCTAGCTGGATATACTCTTATTCGCAAAGATCGGCTCTCCAAAGGGGCAGGACTCTTGCTTTACAGCCGTAATGACATTGAATTTAAGAGACACACTCATTTGGAAGATGCTAGATTTGAAACCTGTTTCGTAAGCTTATATCTGCCGTCATCGAAATCTTGTCTCTTAGCCCTTTGCTATCGATCGCACGATGTTACGCCTATGCCTCTGTTTTTGGAATATCTAAGTGATAACCTTCGAAAAATGCGTTTCAACGATCATTTTAACGTCGTTAGGGAACGCGTTCAACAAAAACGCTAGAAAACGGTTAATTCAACAATCGCTAACAAACGCGTTGTCAAAGAACGCATTATTCCGAAGTTTTGAAAGACCGAAAACGCGTTTAAATGGCTCTTTTAACGATCGTTCCGAAAAAGGCATTTTTCGTGCCGTTTCTAATGTTTTTTTGTCGCCTAGGTGGCGTATGTTGCTGAATGAATGTCGCAACTGTCAACAGAATTAAATGTAAAGTGGAGCGTTGTACCGAAACTAAGACTTATAATGCGCTTTATTTACTTTTAAAGTACTGAGAAACGTTTTACAGTAGGGAGGTTATTATTCTTTTTGCCTATTTCTTACTCATACACGGAGAGCAAGCTTTCCTTTCTTTCACAACATTACAACTATAGCAAGGTCGTAAAGAAAATGTGTTTTGATGGTTGTTGTCGTTGTTGCCATACAAAAAGTAATTACAAAAACTTTTAACATGGCTTCTTGCCTTTGATCCTTAGAGAAATCATTCTTGTTTGAATTTCAGAGCTATTCATTGGTCGTCGTTAAAACAGTTTAATGACACTATAAACAGTGTTTAATTGCAAGTTTACACATGCAGAAGTAACTCAGTTTTGTAGCTACTCATCTGTCTAGGGGTACTATAAGCCACAGACCAAAGGTAGAGCCATTTTGGCTAAAAGAACACGATCGAAACTGTCAAAGAAAGTTAACAAATGAGCCGCAATTCCGTCTTTACATTCAAAAAGCTGTCATCAGATACTAAAGCTACAGTGTTTCGTTTTTTTACACCTTAAAAAAACAAATAAATGAACAGATAAGATATCATGTTTCATTCTGCTTCTACCTTACACTGTAAGTATAACAAACTCTAGGTAAGTAGTTAAAAGAAAAAGACTGTTGTTAAGTAACTTTGAAATGGACTCAATCGAAGAAAGATCTCAATTCACTAAAATCCTCTTACCAATCCTTTCTCAATGTCAAAAATGGATTAACGACTCCTCATCACCTTCCACAACTCTCATCGAAGGCTGCTCCTTAGACCCGTCAAAACTCAACGACTCCTTACAACACCTTCTCACCATTCCTCGGGAACAAGGTCATCAATGTAATACACAGTCTCTCGCCACACTCGTCGACAGCGCTCTGAAACACTCCGTTAAAACACTTTCACCTCAATTTATGGATAAACTCTACTCCTCTACCAACGTTCCCGGTCTCATCGCCTCTCTTCTTCTTGCCGTTATGAATACAAACGTACATGTCTTTAGTGTTTCACCATTCCTCACATTGACTGAGAAGGTAACTGTCGAATATCTCTGCCAACTATTCTTCGGAGGTGAATCTGTCAAACATGGCGGTTTTACATGCCCTGGCGGTAGTTTAGCCAATCTAACAGCGATGATCACAGCACGAAGCATTCTATTTCCAGAGACAAAAGCAAAGGGAATACAAGACCACAAATTTCGTCTATTTACATCGGAACATGCACATTATTCCTTCCATAAAGCAGCTATGACTGCCGGGATGGGTATAGAAACTGTGATTTCCGTTGGTGTGAACTCACAAGGTCAAATGGAGTCTGAGAAATTACGTCAGGCCTTTCTCGATAGTAAACTGCGAAACGAAACTCCATTCTTTGTCTGTGCAACTGCAGGGACAACTGTCTATGGCTCATTCGATCCGCTCAACGAGATTGCTGATATTTGTGAAGAGTTTGGACTGTGGTTACACGTTGATGCATCGTGGGGCGGTGGTGTTATATTTAGTCCAAAGCATCTGCATAAACTAACTGGCATCAAGCGTGCTAATAGCATTACATTTAATCCACAGAAAATGCTTGGTGTCCCTCTGCTATGTTCATTTCTGTTACTTCGAGACAAGTCGGTCCTGGCTGCTAACTCATTAGATAACGCGAGTTACCTTTTTCACGAAGAGAATGAATATGATAATGGCAGTCAAACACTTTGGTGCAGTCGTTTGGGCGATGCTTTTAAATTTTGGTTTAGTCTACAGTGGTATGGTGAAGTTGGGTATTGTAGACGAGTTGAACACGCATTTGAGATGGTAACGTTATTTTATGAAAACATGTTAAAAAATTCGAATTTTGAAGTACTCCTGAAGCCAGCGTGTTTACAAGTATGCTTTTACTATCGGCCGAGTGAGGATGGTGAAAGAAATACGAAGATGACTCATGGGATTGTTCAAGTTTTGAGAAATGAAAGAAAGTATTTCATTGACTATGCACAAGGAAAACGAGGAGATTTCTTTCGAATTGTAATACAAAATCCATTGACGACGGAGGTGTTTATTGACGAGGTGATTAAGGAAATTGATGAAGCGGGGAAAAAACTTTTGCATACACTCTAGATACTGATTTACTTCGCATTTATTTTTAAAAACTTTCAAGCTTTCTTATCGACTAATCTAACAATACCTTCTATTTCATAAATAACTGGCTCATTTTTTCATTACAAATTTCTTTCTTCTGTTCTTCTTCTTGTTTCATTATATCTTCAAGGTCCTTCTCTACTGGGTCACCTAAACGATAAGTAATTCAACTCTGACCCCATTCCCAATCTGATTCAAGTTGATAAACAGTTTTATATTCAATTGATATTTTTACATGTTTTTTACAAGTTCATGTTCGTTAAAACTAGAAAAAGTAAGAACAACTGTCGCCATTCGTTTCGGTCCATATTGTTTAAATAACTGAATAGTAACCCGATCAGTACTTAAGAGAGAGTCCGAGAGAAAACCGACCACATCAGCCGGAGCTAAACTTTTCTTTTTATTCATAGTATTTTAGTTCGAAAGAGCTCATCGAAAAACTAAGAAATCCAAGATATCTCACGTTTGTATGGCACTGTTCATGAATTAGGGGGTCTTAACCCTTCATCGCCAGAAGCTCCATTTGTGGATGAAATCAATGTTTCTTTAATATCTCAGAAATGGCTTGATCCTTACGGTCCGTTTACATCTCATATTAAAGAGAAATGTTTGCTCTACAAAATCACTGCAGAAAAGTACAATGAAAGGCAGCACCCTAGGCGTCCGCAAGTCAAAACCTGGAAAAACCGGTTTTTTCTAACCTGCTTTTTTCCAGTATTTTGGACCTAGAAATCGGTAATCCGGGTTGACCAAAAAATAAATCCTGTTATTTTGTACAGTTGATAGTTCTGCATGGATCTGATATATAGACTGATTGATGCTGATTACGAATATGATAACCATTTGAATTCGTAGAACTCTCCTACCCTCTCCTGAGCAGAGATGGGCGAGCCCGAGTCGCATTTGTCTTTGATAAACTGACTCGACTCACTTACAAGTCAGCCACGTGCAACTTGGGATTGTTATGACGGTGTTTATTATATTTGTTATGTACCGGAAGAGAGAGAGAGATTTAAGAATATTCTAAGTAGAGCATCGCGTCTCAGGGGAGGATTCAAGAACTGTTCTTGGAAAAATGAATCAGGAGGAAGTTTTCCTGTAGAAAATGACTCGAGTCAATTTTTGATGCGACTCGGACTCCGACTCGAAGGCTGCTGACTCGGACTCGATTCAAACTCGAAAAAGTGGTGACTCACTCATTTATGCTCTCCTGGAAAAAAATCCCCTGAAACCGTAGCAATGTTCTGCCAACATATTGGAATTATAGTCCGTAAATTTTGCATCAAAATGAGATCCCTCTCAGCTCTCACGAGCTTTCTTTGCAAAGGTATAGAATTTTCAAGAAACGCGAATCAGGTCCTCCCTCTTTTTTTACCTTGCTGCCAAACGTGGAGCACACGTTCCGTTGAGCTCAAATTTATACCAAAGATAGAACAGCGAAAAGGAAACTCGATGTATTTTGGTCCAGAATTTTCTGACATATTCTTGTATAGGTTTTCTGGAAAATTCCAATTTTCATCCAGTCACATTACGACCCCTTGGAAAAATGGCCCGATTGGGCTCAAATTTTTAACCACAGATATTTCAGACCCTATCTCAGGTTCTAAATTCTTTTTTCCGAAAAATATGCGTGAAAGGAAAGTTAGTGAATAGCAACATAATTACAGTGTAAATTTATGTATATTCCTGCTAATCAGGGAACATTTCCAACTGCCCAACTCCGAATTTTTTCAAACCTATGTCGATCGATAGAGGATAGTGAGCTAGTAAAAAGCCTAAAAGAATTCAGGCCCATGACTCTTGAAGACCCAGTTTTCTGGAAAGCCCGTTTTTCAGAAAAATTCTAAAAAATAACCAGAAACTTTTCTTAATGATGCATGATTGTAGCACATACATTTCTGATTGAAATGAGACATCTTCCAGTTGTACACGACCTTTCTTTGCAAAGTTATAGAATTTACAAGAAAAGCCCTGAATTAATTTCCTATTTCTCTAGCTTTCAGCTGACAATGAACATTTAGGACTTCTCTTGTAAATTCTATAACTTTGCAAAGAAAGGTCGTGTAGAGTTGAGGGACGTCTCATTTTAATCAGAAATGTGCGGGCTACGTCATTAAGAAAAGTTTCTGGTTATTTTTTAGAGTTTTCTGAAAAACGGGCTTTCCAGAAAACTGGATCTTCAAGAGTCATGGGCCTGAATTCTTTTAGGCTTTTTACTAGCTCACTATTTTAGATAATTATTTTTCGTATAACAGTTGTTTTTGATTTCTTATCAAGAGGGCCCCCCACCCTGCAGAGAGTATTCATGTTTGGAATGCAGCTTCCATTTTCATACTCAGTTCCGAAAATGGAAGCTGTATTCTAAATATGAATACTTTAAATAAATAAGATACTTAACAAGTTTAAGGAAGTCTAAGCAAGTTGCTGTTATGATAATTTTGTACTTAAATTATGGTTCCTAAAAATTTAATGAATTCAATAGTTGACAAAGCAAAAAGATGAAGAGAACTTAGCCACATATCACTTAAGCACTGAACAGGGTGGGGGGCCCTCTTGGCAAGAAATCATAAATAACTGTTATACGAAAAACAACTTAGAGAAAGACATAATAAAAAAGATAAAGGAAAAAAAGAATGTTGAGGGAAAACAACAAAAAATCATAGTTCTTGTAAGCGTTTAATTGCTGCGGCTGCTACGTCACAGCACAATCTGGCAGCATCTCTGTTGGGTATTGCAGCTTTAATTAAATATGTATTTAATGTTCGACGTGGCGAGGGTGACTGATTTTTCTCATCTTCACCATCTGTCTCAGCTAGAGGTGATGGAGTAATAGCAAAGCATCGACGTTGTTGTCGTCGTTCTCTTCTTGTTTTGGTTCTCGTCTAACATTATTTGTTTGAAAAAAAATGTAGAAAGAACCATTCGCCTAATTTAAACACAGTTCGAAAGTATGAAAACGCCACTAAAACTAAAGACTAACAGGAAAGCACAATAGCGCTGGAATTAAAGTGACGTATAGGATAGAACAGGTTAAATCTAAAGAATCGAATACGGCTTCGGTTATTTTTTCGTTTCTCGCTAGATAATCATAAATTCTTTTTGCTGATTTTGTTAGCCCCTTAATTTCATACATCTGTTGAATTGCTGCTGGAACCTGTGGATTGTTTATCATTTCACCGGCTATTTCACCTGAACTTCTCGAACCAAATTGAAGATAAAAATGTTGAACTAAAAGTTTTTCTTCATTTGTAAATGGAATTTTTATTATTATTTGTCTTGATTGAATCATGCTAAACCGTTTGTCATGATGAGAACTTGTTTGTTCGGAACAAACAAGTTCTCCTTTCTGAAACTGATTTTTGCGTAAATGTAAACATTTACGATATATTTTTCATCTAAAAGAGAGCAAAAGCGAACCTGTTTTGTCTTTGATCTTGCATACATATGCTGCTGATGAAGATACCACTGTATAGCTAATAAAATCTAGCACAGGAGGTTTATACTAATAGATGAGTAATGGGTAACTAATAGATATCCAGCGGTTTTTTCTTTTAGGAGTTACGCATCCGTTCCAAAAAAAAACCTTTGGAAAGCTTAAGAGATGCAGGGATTCCGGTACTTTTATCCAGTACTGTATGTGCATATATATATATATATATATGTATACTGAGGACTCATGTAATAAAACTATCTAATCTTAGACAATTACTACACCAGTATTTATTATCCATCAATTTCCTGAAATCACTTAATATCACTATTAGGTAACCGTATCCACATCCAACTTGTCGAATATTATCAATTTTATAACTAATATATGAAGAAATTATCAACGTTTTGAACAACTTAACAGTATTAATTAAAAAATTAGCTACCAGCTAACATCAATAATATCAATAACAAATGAGTGTTTGGAAATGCTATAAAAATCGAGAGAAACGTTATCATCAATTAAAACTTTTCCACAATTTAGAAATTTGTTTTCAAAAGATTAATTCCAAAACAAGATGGGAAATGTTTATACTGATGCTATAGCAACTCCAAAGATTTTTGTTTATCTAACCGGTTTAACACCAACAACATTTGAAGAAGTCTATCGTCAATTTCAACGTGCAGCTGCTCAACGTTTACAATCAACGAAAGCTCGTCCTCATATTAGATTAATCGATCGAAATCTTCTCTTCGTGTTGACTCATTGGCTTCGATGTTATCCAACTTATCCTGAACTATGTATACTATTTGGTGTTAATCGCACACAAATTTGTCATTCGTCGTTTTATATCTGATGTAGCTGAAGGTCTCAGAACCGAAATAAAATGGCCATCAATAAATGAACTGGAACAGCAGCTCTGCAGACATCCAGCTATCGGCTGTTTTAGTGGCTCAATTGATGATACTCGTCATCGTATACAAAGATCAGGTAAGATTTATTTGAGGTCTGAAAAAAAATATTTTGTTACAGTGGTAAAACAAAATACCATTGTCTGGCAAGTATTTATATTATTACCCGTAATAGTGGAATGTTTTCTTTCTTTTCGAGCAGGCTTATATTTTACATTTTATCTGTTATATATATATATATTCGGCAGCTATTTTTCTGTTCTATTTTTGTAACCTCACAAGCGACAGAAGGTTAAATTTTGCCAGGCCTTCGGAACCAAAATCTGAGGAAAGGAAAATGAATGTGTGGACGGACGGTCAGCGGAAATTGTGTTGTGTTGTTAAACGTAACAAGCCTATCACTACAGGCCTTCGATACCCAAAGTGTTGTTCTGAATGACATTGCCGTTTCTTCTAACTGACGTAAAGACAGCCGAAAATCACGCTTATTGCTTTTTTAGTTGACATAAAAACTTGTCTATGCTCCTCTAGTAGTTAGTAGAAAATAGTGAAAGTTGTGTCTCTCGTTTTTTATAAACTTTGTTTACTCTCCTTCTCTTCTCTGTCAGTCCTTGTTGAATGTTACTTGACTAAGATTAAAAGAAAGAAGAATCAACAGTCATAATAGAGTCAGTACGCTGATTACTCGTGTCACGTGCTGCCAGAAATTCAAAGCTGCGAAAAATTCGAGAAAAACCGGCGGGTTTTTGGCAGCTTCGAAAGCAGCACGTCAATGAAATCTTTTTCACGTAAAATGCCACATTCGAAAGCGGAAACATTTCCCTATCGAGTGTACACCTTAGACAAATTTCGAATAACAGGTTTTTCAAAACACCGTAATTTTCCACTCTCTGAAGAAACCGCTTTCACGATAGATTTTAGACCCATTTTTCACAGAAAGATGCGGCAAGCTCTTGGTTTTTTCCAGGAGAGCATAAATGAGTGAGTCACCACTTTTTCGAGTTTGAATCGAGTCCGAGTCAGCAGCCTTCGAGTCGGAGTCCGAGTCGCATCAAAAATTGACTCGAGTCATTTTCTACAGGAAAACTTCCTCCTGATTCATTTTTCCAAGAACAGTTCTTGAATCCTCCCCTGAGACGCGATGCTCTACTTAGAATATTCTTAAATCTCTCTCTCTCTTCCGGTACATAACAAATATAATAAACACCGTCACAAAATCATAAAAATTGCAGCTATACCGCTTCTTTTATCAAAGGTCACTGGCGGAGACAATAGAGGTCACTTTTCGGAAACCTAAGTTCCGAGGAGTGTCCAGAAACTTTCAATTAGGTAGCTATGCTGCTACTAATATATGATGATACATTGATTATTGTCCGGTTCTGCGACACATTCCGCTGGGTATTTCTACCATAGAGAAAACTATCAGTAGAAATTAAGTATTTTCGATCTCTTATTCGATTTTAAAAATATTTTTAGTTCATTTTGGGATGCTCTACGTAATATCAGCAAGCTTACTCCGCCGGTAATATTCAAAGGCCATCAAAATATTTAGTTTCCGAGATCTGGGATTAATGGCCTAGTCAAGGCCTCTGATTGGTTCTTTTTCATTGGAGAAAAAATGTTTAACTTAGAAAATAGTTAAAAAAGACCAAGAGAGGGATCTTTATCCGCTAAAAACACCAATTCGAAATTGAAAACACTTAAAAAGTTCGAAAATTTTCTTATTTTTTACGTATTAGCGCCACCTATAGCACATCAAAATTGAAAGGAAACCGACAAAAATACTAATGAAGCCTGCTGAAAATAACGGGTGATCCAAGATAAATTGCACTAAATTCTGATGCATTTTTCTCTCATTTTTCATCTATGAAAAATATGCCCTAATATACCAAAAGATAGAGAATTTCAAGCTCTACAAAACTGATGACTTCGTTTTTGAAACAAATTTTTCTTATCGCCACCAAATTAAA